CCCTCTCCCCCACACCCCCCACAGCGGAACCCTCCACTGGTGCCATTGAAGACAAAGGTACTGTATTTCGTTCTCTCCTTCTCTCTATCCCTCCTCCTCTCTTCTCATTTTCCTTTTCAATTTTTTAGAAGAGGCGGTCGGGTGTGCAGCAGCAGCGGGGCGGTGGACTCCAATGATATTGTCTTCCTCTATACTCAGTGGTGGTGTTGTAGTGGTCCGATGGAAAGGTTAGTATAATTTTTATTAAAATTATTAAATTTATCCAAGTATTTAGAATTTTATGCTAGAAAATAGATTGATTTTCAGTTTTATAAAATTTTGGGTATTTTTGAGTGGAGTAGTTTTCTTGTAACAGATCATTCATAATCTTTTGAACAAATTTATCTTGTGGAGTTCCACTTGAGAATGGAAATTGCTTTGATATTTCAATAGTATTATGGGGAAAACAAATATGATTTCTTGCATTTTGAGTTGGGAGGCCACTGATATTGCTTTGGTATTTAGTTTTCCTTTTACCTCTCTTCCTCTTAGTAAAAAATATTCATAAATGATATTAATAAAAAGAAATATATAGTTTGTGAAATTTGATGAAGTACGATCTAATGAATCGCAATCACTTTATAGAAGAGATTTTGAGAATATGACAAGAGGATAGGTAATACTAAGCTAATAATTCTACTTTTGTACCTATACAAATAGAAGCCTTTGAAATTAAATTCTTTAAAATTGGATTCTTAAAAATTAACTTATTGTGTAATGGTAACCTTTTAAAATAAGAACCTTTAAATAAAATAATATTTAATATTTTTGTGTAGATAGGAATCATCTGAATCATACAGGGTTGTGTCAATGGGTTGCTAGCTTTATTACTAAGGCAAAAACACTTGATGAGTTCCTTATCTAAGGGACGATTAGGTTCCTCTATGTGAAACACAAGTGTCTTAAGTTACTGGAGTCCGATATTGTTACTGTTCATTTGTATAAGAAGGGGTTTATGAAAAATTATTATGTATGGACTGTGCATAAGGAGAATCATACTAGTGTAGAGGTATGTTAATTTTCAGAACTCATTTGGTTGTAAATAAGGTAGTCCCATAGCAGAGAATATTAATATTGAAATTCTATAACCAGTCGCGTTACAAAGAAGTGACAAATGCTAAATAAAAGAAGGTTCCAGTGAAGGCGATGCACTATTTACCCCTTATACTAAGGTTAAGAGGTTGTATGTACCAATGAGTTCCGCTCCTCATATGAGATGACATTATGAACATAAAAGGCCAGATGGTGTGCTATGTCATTCGTCAGATGGAGAAGCATGGAAGCATTTTGATAGGCTATTCCCAGACTTTGCAGGTGAATCGAGAAATATTAGGCTAAAATTATGTGCTGATAGATTCACTCCATTTGTAGTGTCTGCTGCACCATATTCGTGATGGTCAGTGTTTGTTATGTTGTATAATTTACCGCCTGAATTGTGTATGACAAGTCAATATTTTTTTTAACTTGTATTGTTCCAGGTTCATGAGAAGTGGGGATTTTGACTACTTATTTGCACTCTTTTACTTTCGTTTAGCTGAAAATTGCTTAAAGGTATTCTCAAAAACTAACGAAATATACTTGCTTGCAGGAGTGTTGGAATATGAGCCAAAGAAATGAAAATCAATTCAAGAAAGAGTAATTTTGGACAAAGACCAAAACAAGGCTAAATGGGCAACATGCGGACCGCACAATATTGAGTGCGGCCGTAAAATATGAAGAAAGCCTCTGACAGGAAGTCTTTGCAAAGTGTGGACCGCACAATTATTGTGCGGCCATAGAAGATAAAGTTCAGAGAGATGGGATTTTTGGATCATGAAGAAATTCGGGTCGCACCATTATTGTATGGTCACAGAATCAAGAGCGTGGCCGCACTCAGAAATGTGCGGCCCCCAAAAGTCTCCCATTTCCAAATCCCAAGGTCAAGAAGTGCAGACCACACCATTATTGTGCGGCCGCACTAAGAAATGTGCGGTCCGTCGAAGTTGATGAAGCACGGCCGCAACCCAGACTAGCCTAGTTCTTGCCTGAATTTGAGAATTAATGGTTTCAAATATTAATTCATGCCTAATTGACTTAGTCTCTACTTGAAAAGGAAAGACTAACTCTAGCAACACTTGGTTAACAAGGAATTGGGGTGAGCTCAAGAAATTGATAGCCCTAATTAATGGGTAGAATCTAGAGATAGTAAGACCCGATTTGAGCATTTATCACTTGTTTTGTGCAATATCCATTTGGTTGAGAAAGCCAAATTGGGCAAAATCACTCTAACTACCGAGAAGTATTGAGTGGGTAATTGCGTGTGAGTGTTATATTACGACCGTAACCAAGAAATTTTTCCTAGAGCCTACAATTTGTTAAGTAACCATCTAGGTGGAAGTCACGACCCTAGATCTTTTATCAACTTGAAAAACAACAATACCAAAAACATTGTCTCTTAGATTTTCAATTGCAAGCATTAGCATACAAATTAGAAGTAGAAAAGAAACAACCATTCATGTGGAAGTCCAATATTGGGCACGCCATACGCTAAACTTGGTATATACCTAATCCCATATAAAGCTCTCTATGGAATCGACCCCGACTCACGTTGGGTAGTTATAATTGCATCGACCGCATCACAATCCCAATTAGTGGTGTGAGTTTTGGCGTGCGACATCAATTTTTTGGCGCCATTGCCGGTGAGCTTAAAAATAGATTTAGCTATATATTTGGTTTTGTGTGTGATTTGTCTTCTTTTCCTTCCGAGTTACTAATCTTTTCGTGAATCAATTGTAGGTGATAAAATGGCTCTCCACAACAATGATTATCTTGGAAACGTTCCATTGGGGGATGACCGGGATGATGACTAAGTTGATGAGGTTCCTCTTGAACCTCAAGGAAATAGATGAGGCCACCCTCCTCAAGACAACATTCCCGTTCCTACCCCACCTTCTCCAAGAGCGACGGCACATCGAGTGTTGCTGAATGAAGGATATGCAAGTGCCATAGTCTCACCCCGCATTAAGGTGGAAAACTTTTAAATCACAAATGTCATGCTTACACTGTTAGAACAACGAGAATTCTTCACCGGGGCTTCAAATCAAAATGCATACAAGCACTTGAAAGGGTTTGTTGACACTTGCTGGGAGAGCAACCAAACCAACGTCTCTAAGGATTCTTTGCGGTTGAGGCTATTCCCTTTCTCTCTTATGGGGAAGGCCTTGGATTGGTTGGAGAGGTTGTCAAATCATTCTATCCATACATGGGATGAATTGACCGAGAAATATATTGCCAAGTTCTTTTCTCCCGGGCATATGGCAACTCTCAGGAATGAGGTTCTAGCTTTCAAACAAGAACCCAATGAGCCTTTGTATGAGATATGGGAAAGATATAGTACTATGGTGAAAGAGTGTCCGAACAATGACTTAATGGAGGCTATGATTCAACAGACTTTTTATAGAGGGATCAATACTACCAATCAATGTGTGGTCAACCAACTTGCCGGTGGAAATTTTATGACAACGTCGTATGCGGAAGCTTATGAGATTCTTGATGAGATAGCGGATACTTCATCGGCATGGCAAAGTATGAGCCAAAAAGAGAAAATGGAGTGCTGAAGGAAAGATGAATCCATTCTATTCCATCAAGTCCTACCTTGATCTAAAAAACCTTCATTACTTCCCGCAAAAGCCCTACATGATTTCACGTTGAGTGAGCTTACATTAGTGGTGATTTACATGAGGGGCAAGTATATGGTACTTAGAGCCGTACTTGTGACATTCTTTTGAGAGAGATGAACAAACTTTTCACAATTTTTGAATTGAGTGTTATATTCTAAGGTGAGATATGCTAATAGACAGTAGATGGGGAGGAGTTTGGGATCCACAATGACCAACATGAAAGAGCGAGCTTCCTTGATGAATAAAGTCAACTCCTAACTCTCTAGTGTCACATTAGAACTATTGTACTCACAAAGTCAAATCATTGCATTATTGATAATTCATACGTATTGTGGGTATATGTTGCTCCCAATTGATGTGTGATTGATTCACCTTAGGCTAGCTGAAATAGTTCTTGTCTTGTGGAGGTGGAAATTACCTTATTTGCTTGAGGACCAGCAAAAGCCTAAGTATAAGGGAGTTGATAAGTAGGGATTTTGACTACTTATTTGCACTCTTTTACTTTCGTTTTAGCTCAAAGTTACTTAAAGTTATTCCTGAAAACTAATGAAATATGTTTGCTTGTAGGAGTGTTGGAATATGAGCCAAAGAAATGAAAATCAACTCAAGAAGGAGTACTTTTGGACAAAGACCAAAACAAGGCTAAAAGGGCAACATGTGGACCGCACAATATTGAGTGCGGCCGCAAAACATGAAGAAAGCCTCTGACAGGAAATCTTTGCAAATGCGGACCGCACAATTATTATGCGCTGCAAAAGATAAAGTTCAGAGAGATGGGATTTTTGGATCATGAAGAAATGAGGACCGCATCATTATTGTGCGGCCGCAGAATCAAGAGCGCTGTCGCATTCAGAGATGTGCGGTCTGCAGGAATCTCCCATTGCCAAAGCCTAAGTCAACAAGTGTGGGTCGCCCCATTATTGTGCAACCGCAGAATCAAGAGTGCGACCACACTCAGAAATGTGCGGTCCGTAGAGGTTGATGAAGCGCGACCGCAACCCAAAATTGTGCGACCGCAGAAGTCCAACCTTTCAAGCTAAGTTTCAAAGTATGGACCACACACATGATTATGCGGCCGCACAACCTCTGCAGGGGAAATTTTGTCCGACAATTTTAGCTGGGTATAGATAGATCTTTTTGTCATTTTTAGGTTATGTTTTATGCACCTGAGAATAGATAGCCGTTTTTCTTTACTATATTGGGTAACATTGTATTTGTTTAATATTTTAACATTAGATGTTCTTCTCTTAATCATATATTATGGATTTTATCTTAGTTTCTTCTTTAATTTCTTCATTTTTCATGAGTATCTAAATTTCTAGCTAGGGTTGTGACCCAACCCTAGTGTGGATACTTAATGGGTGTTTGATTTAGGGCTTGTTTGTGATTGAGTTAGTGATATTTAGTCTAGTTCTTGCTTGAATTCAAGAATTAATCGTTGCAAACATTGATTCATGCCTAATTGAGTTAGTCTCTACTTGAGAAAGAGAGACTAAGTCTAGGAAAATTTGGCTAATAAGAAATTGGGGTAAACTCAAGAAATTGATAGCCCCAATTAAAGGGTTGAATCTAGAGATAGTAAGATCCGCCTTGAGCATTTATCTCTTGTTTTGTGCAATATCCATTTGGACTTGAGAAAGCCAAATTTGGTTTAATCACTCTAACTACCGAGAGGTATTGAGTGGATAATTGTGTGTGATTGCTATATTGTAATCTGAACCAATCAAACTTGCCCTAGAGCCTACAATCCATTAAGTAACCACCTAGGTGGAAGTCACGACCCTAGATCTTTTATCAACTTGAAAAAACAATTATACCAAAAATATTGTCTATTAGATTTTTAATTACAAGCATTAGCATAATCATTAGAAGTAGAAAGAAACAACCAATCATGTGGAAGTGCAATCTTGGGCACAACATACACTAGACTAGGTATATATATAATCCCATATAAAGTTCTCTATGGACTCGACCCCAACTCGCGTTGGGTATTTATAATTGCATCGACTACCTCAGAATCCCAAATAGTGGTGTGAGTTTGGGTGACATCAATTCGTTTTTCATTACAGTATTGGGTAACATTGTATTAGTTTAACATTTTATCATTAGATTTTCTTCTCTTAATCATCTATTATGGATTTTATCTTAGTTTCTTCTTTAATTTGTTCATTTTTCATGAGTAGCTAAATATCTAACTAGGGTTATGACCCAACCCTAGTGTGAGTATTTAATGGGTGTTTGATTTCGGGCTTGTTTGTGATTGAGTTAGTGATATTTAGCCTAGTGCTTTCTTAAATTTGAGAATTGATGGTTGCAAACATTGATTCATGCCTAATTGACTTAGTCTCTACTTGAGAAAGAGAGACTAAGTCTAGGAAAACTTGGCTAACAAGGAATTGAGACGAGCTCAAGAAATTGATAGCCCCAATTAAAGGGTTGTATCTAGAGATTGTAAGACCCGATTCGAGCATTTATCACTTGTTTTGTGCAATACCCATTTGGTCTTGAGAAAGCCAAATTGGGCATAATCATTCTAACTACCGAGAGGTATTGAGTGGGTAATTATGTGTGATTGCTATATTACGATCCCAACCAAGCAAACTTGCCCTAGAGCCTACAATCCGTTAAGTAACCACATAGGTGAAAGTTACGACCGTAGATCTTTTATCAACTTGAAAAACAACAATACTAAAAACAATGTGTCTTAGCTTTTCAATTGCAAGAATTAGCATAAAAATTAGAAGTAGAAAGGAAACAACCAATCATGTGGAAGTGCAATCTTGGGCACGTCATACACTAGACTTGGTATATACCTAATCTGATATCTCATGTATGAATTCTTTGGCCCTTCTTAACTTTACAAGTTATTATTTCTTCTTGTTTGACTAACATGCAGGTAGAGTCCACATTGGAGGTGCTACAAAGTAGGAAGCAAGCAATCGGATGGACATTGGGGGATATCCGGGGCATAAGCCCTGCCTTTTGCATGCACAATATTATTTTGGAGGAGGGTGCCAAACCCCCCGTTGAACATCAAAGGAGGCTAAATGAAGCAATGCAAGAGGTTGTCAAGAAGGAGATCATAAAGAGGTTGGATGCCGGGGTTGTTTACCCTATTTTCGATAGTTCATGGACTTTTCCGGTGCAATGTGTGCCAAAGAAAGGGGGCATGATTGTGGTTACAAATGACAAGAACTAGTTAATTCCTTCAAGGGTGGTGACCAGATGGAGGGTGCATTGATTATCGCAAGCTCAACAAAGTTACAAGAAAAGATCATTTTTCACTTCACTTCCTTGATCAAATGCTTGATAGGTTGGACGATCGTGCTTTCTATTGTTTCCTTGATGGGTATTCCAGCTAAAATAAAATTCTCATTACTCGGGAAGATCAAGAAAAGACTACTTTCACTTGTCTCT